AGTATTCGGGGTGGCAAGGCGACGGCACCCGTCATCTGCGCGGTGTGATGAGAACCGCGGGGTGGCGAAAACTTGCCACGTCGCGCCGCGCCGAGAGAATAGCGAGAGGCGTTACACCGAGACGCGAGCGAGCTGAGGAGTCTCTTCTTTTTTCTTTTTATCTCGATACTGATCGACATCGATCGATCGTTGCTTCGCCGTCATCGGCTTCTTCCTCCCGTTCGTGCCTGCCTCTGCTTCTTCTTCCCGATACCAGAGCATTACCGAACTTGCGCGTTTCTTATCACGTACGGTACCGCCGCAGGAACTGGATATCGTGTTACGTTGCAAAAAGCGAATCGCCGAGCTCGGCGAGAGTGACATGCCAATTTTTCAAAGTAGAACAACATATTTTTATCGTTTCGTACATTCATTATACCAGAAATAACGATTTTGTTGAAGTCAAAATTACATTTAATAAATATGATTTTAGAATTAAAGTTTATTTTAAATTCGCAAATTTAAGCGTTATTTTTTTTTTTGCTTTTTTACAGGAATAGAATACTTGAAATTTTTTATATAATAATACCCGATATTGCTGAAATATCTAAAAATTTAGCTAGGTACAGATCTGAAAATAATTCTGTTAAATTATTTAAATAATTACGTAAGAATCTCAAGTATGATGAGCTGAAAATGTTTTATCATTCTAGCAATCACTGATTGAACGTCCTACATATCATTTTAACTGTTCAATAAAATTATTTTCAGATCTATACCTTTTTTAGCAAAACCGTCTTTTCCGTGTCCTATATATACTTCTATAGGTCGCCATTTCGTCTTGTAGGTTTTTTTTATCTACAACTTCAACTCTCCGAGTTCTTCGTGATTCTAGATAAACAACTCATACTAATGATAAATGATTAGTACGAGTTGTTTATCTGGGATCACGAAGAACTCGGAGTTGAAGCAGTAGATATAAAAAACTCAGACCAAGGCGACCTATATAGAAATGATTAAAAATAACTCAAATTGAGTATAATTCGACGTTATGAATTTGATAGTGTATAATACAATATTTTTTTAATAAAATCAGAAAATATGTCAAATATTATTTGAATATTACTTAAATAACTCGTTTGAGTTGATATAAATTCATTTAACAGCGTCTTTCACACACGAGCTTATATCCCTGCAAATCCGTGTCCGGATTTAAAAGTGGCACATCGCGCTTCACTCATACATATAATTTTGATAGAGCTGTCTGTCGGATATTCAGTAGCCGCAGCGCATCTTTTGCCTTCTCTGTCGTGTAATCCTCGAAAGGGCTGTGCTTCTCGACGTGTGGCGGGATTATGCCATCTGCCTTTTCTGACTTTTTTATTCGCAGATACGAGATACAAACCGGTGCGCTGTTTCGAGACATACACGTCCATTCGCGTCCGGCAGCTGCCGCTAAGAAATACGTGCGATCGGCACGTACGTCGTTATTTCTGCACACGTCGTGGATTACAGCCGAGGTGTAACCGTCAGAGCGGATTATCCGGAATTGCTGTGGAACGCTACGGGCGATCGTACTGACAGTTTCGTGTCTATTAAATGGAGTGTGCTCATATCCACCCGTCCAGAGATTTGGATTCCAACGAATTTCCGCGGTCAAACAACCGGTTGTGTGGTAACTCCTCTAATCGTACTTTGTCAGTTTAATGGACAGCTAAATAAAATTCTTATTAATATTAGTTAATAGTAATATCAGTTAATTTTATGATAAATAAATTATTCAATTATTCATATATATTAT